ATAAGCAGTTAAGGTTTGCGAAAGGTCAAACATTCCTTTACTCTCACATAAAATAACTAACCCACAATAACTTATTAACTTTTTTTGTTTTGATCCAGTACACATTGAAGAACTTGTGTCATAAAATGTAAGTGCGCGCGCAACAGGCCATTTTCTATATTTTTGTGTGTTTTTGTTTGTTTGCTGTATGAGCTTCACGGTCTTCTGCGCGCTGATTTATGTCGCAAACGTGACCCCATATAGTCTCGGGAACGCGCAGAGCAAGCAGTGGGCGGAGATTCCTCGAGCTCAGTGCGTGCGCTGCGTGCGGTGATTTGTAAGGAGCTTTCAGAGGAGTCGGTGTTGATTTTTCTGTCGGTGATCGGTAGATTTTGAAGATCCTCCATCATGCATGTGGACTTTGAGAAGCTGCGGATGAGCGGCGCTGGAAAAGCCATCGCCGTGCTGACGAGCGGCGGGGACGCGCAGGGTAAAAACAGCCAAAACACGAAGATAAAGTGCAGAAAGCGACAAAACGACAAACACAAACACACTCTTTCTGCTTTACTGACGCCATTTATTCAATATAAACGCGTTTCAGACCAGTAATGCAGTTTAAACCCGTCTCTGATGCATTAATGTTAATAAGCAAACGTGTTGCATGTAGAAAGTGTGTGTACATGCAGTGTGTGTGACAATACCTGCTGTAGAGGATCTGACAGCTGCATTTCAGTGCTGAGCTTCTGCATTGCGGATTCCTCAAGCACACTAAACACAATGCACGGGCGGTTTTACACACATTTTCTCGTTTTTTTTTAGTTTTTATTGTGTTTTGGTGCGGTTCTAAAGTAGATATCTGGGGCAGAAGTAATGCATGAACTGAATTGTTATGCAACACATCTGAATACCACTCTCATGACCCCTAACTAGTGTCCATGCACATCTCCTGCTTCACTAAATCTGTTGTGCAATTGTTTGCTCATTCATTATGCATTGCTTGTGTTGCTGTTTCTTAGGCTAAGATTGTAAACATAAACGAATAGACATAATCTAGAGAACTGTGGGGTGCAAATTGAAAATTCAGACATAAAAATCTGAATAGCATGACTGAAATGTAGAATTGACTGAAATCTAGAATTGCAAGAAAAGGATTTGAGTAAGAACTAAGAAGTCTTAGCTTTAAGATGTAAATGCTCAATTCTGTGTGTAAAAAGTCAGAACTGTGAAATGTTTACTCCAAATTCCTGGAAAAAAAACAATGTTGTGTGACAGACATCCGCATTCCAAGTAAAATTCATAATTGCAGGATGTAAACTCAGAATCTCATGAAAAAAAACAAGAGTGATGCTAGAAAACTGAGATGTGAACTTAGAATTGCAAAAGTCAGAAGTGCCAGACAAAATCTGCAAATCCCAGGCAAAAAACAACACTTTTAGATATTAGCTCTGAATGTAAAAAACAACGGCAGAAATAAGAAAAAACGCCAACTTAGAAATCCATAAACAGAAGTCTGAAACGGGATTTAAAACTTGAAATACCAAGATGAGAATCAGGATTGCTTGATGTGAATTTGGGGTTTTAAAAATAAAGTCAGAATTCACAAATAAAAACTCAGAGGAAACCCAGAGGAAAAAAAGACCAATTCTGGAAAACAAAATCTGAATTTTGGGATTTGAACTGTGAATTTCAGGGGGAAAAGTCAGAATTACAAGATACAGACAGAAGTCAGAGAAGAGCTCAGAAATCCAGGTAAAAGACAGAGTCCTCATAAATAAATTAATAACTCTGAGACGTGGGGGAAAAATCTGAATTACAACATGCAAACTCATGATAATAAAAATATCAGAATGCAAAGTCAGAATTCAGAAATAAGAGCTCAGAATACCAGGAAAAAAGACAGAATTCAAATAATTTAGTAATAATCCAGAGATTTGAACTCAGAATTATAAGATGCAAACTCAGAACTTTAAAAATAAAGTCAGAATTTTGAGATATAAACTCAGAATTCCAGAGAAAATACAACATTTTTAGATGCAAGTCAGAATTTTTAGATTAAACTACGGGGAAAAGTCAACTTTACAAGGTGCAAACTCACAATTGTAAAAAGAAACTCTGTTTCAAAGATTAGAGCTTAGAATGCCAGAAAAAATCATAATTAAAAAAATAAAGTAATAATTCTTAGATTTTAACTCCAAATTCCACAGAATAAAAGTGAGAATTATAAGATGCAAACTCAGAATAAAAAATAAAGTCAGTTTTCTGAAATAAGAACTTAGACTTCAAGGAAAAAAAGACCAATTCTTAAAAATAAAGTCAGAATTTTGAGATTTGAATTTATTGGTTAGCACTATGGCCTCACAGCAAGACAGTTTCTGTGTGGAGTTTGCATGTTCTCCCCGTGTTAGCGTGGGTTTCCTCCGGGTGCTTCGGTTTCCCCCACAGTCCAAACACATGCGCTATAGGGGAACTGATCAACTACACTGGTCGTAGGGTGTGTGTGTGTGTGTGTGTAAATGAGTGTGTTTGGGTGTTTCCCAGTACTGGGTTGCAGCTGGAATGGCTTCTGCTGCGTAAAGCATATGCTGGATAAGTTGGCGGTTCATTCCACTGTGGTGACCCCTGATGAATAAAGGGACTAAACTGAAAGAAAATGAATGAACTCAGAATTTTAGGAAAAGACCAAATTTTAGATGCAAATTCTGAATTTGAAAAATGTATTAATAATTTAAAGATATAAACTCCAGAGAAAAAGAGTCAAAATCACAAGACACAAAGTCAGAATTTAAAAAAGAAGGTCCATTTTCAGAGACGAGAGCTCAGAATTCAGGAAAAAAGGCCAAATCTTATAAATAAAATCAGAATTTTAAGATATTTACTCAGAATTCCAGAGAAGATTGTCAGAATTACAAGATGCAAACTCAGAATTTAACATTAAAGTCAGAATTCAGAGAAATGAACTCGCAATTCCAGAATAGGACAGTATAGTGTAATAGTTCATGGTGAAAACGACAAACAGCTTTAATGGCGGAGTGAAATGCGCGCTGACGTGTGTGTGTGGGTGTGTGTGTGTTGTGCATGTGTGTGCGTGTTCTCCTGCAGGTATGAATGCTGCGGTTCGCGCTGTAACACGCATGGGCATTTTTGTGGGCGCTAAAGTCTACCTGATATATGAGGTAGGAGCTGTTTACACCCTACACTGAGTCAATGAGCATCGACACAGCACTGACTCTGTGTGTGTGTGTCTGTGTGTGTCTGTGTGTGTCTGTGTGTGTCTGTGTGTGTGTGTGTGTGTGTGTGTGTGTGTGTGTGTGTGTGTGTGTGTGTGTATGTGTCAGGGTTATCAAGGCCTGGTGGACGGAGGAGATCACATCAAACTGGCGAACTGGCAGACCGTCACCAACATCATCCAGCTGGTGAGTGTGAGAAACTCCAGAAAAATGACGAATATAAAGAGAAACTGGTATTTATTTATTTATTTATTTATATCCAGCATTTATTTAGGAAACATGAATACATTTATTTTATTTAATTAAATAGCAATACAGGGTTCATATATTCATGAAAACAACCAAAAATCAATGATAAAGCTATTATTTCAGCTCCTGGCACTGTCCTGACATGATTATACAAATAATTTAACGTTTACTTTTCCAGATTTGAAGGTTTTTGGCTGAATTTTCTGCTGTTTTTGTTGTTTTTATTTATTCATTTATTCATTTCTGTTTACTTATTTCCAATCATTCTCGTTGAATTTAAATGAAACTTAAATGAAATATGAGTTTAGTTTCCACTGTTGACAACCCTAAAATATCATGAGAATTAAAATTGAAAAGTTATTATTATCGTACAAATTTCATGCTATATTTTTATGATAAAATGTTATAATTAAATAATAATAATAATAATAAATGCTACCATGACATGTAACCTGCAAATAACAGCACATTTAAAATAGTAATTTCCAGCAAAGGCTTTTCTCTGTTATGTTTTATCATTGAAATGATTATTTAGCATTAAATTAAACTAAAATTAGAAAGAGACACCAACTGGAGAAATACATGGGAAGATGTTCATGCAACTCTTTAAAATGATCCGATATTTAGCCTGCTGTTGACTGTGGAAATCATTTGTCAGAGTGTGAGGAATCCTGAATACTGAAAAGCTGTACTGATTTTGAAAGGCCTCTGTGTGAGAGATGCTCCTGTCAGTGTGAGCTGTGTGTCTGAGACTGAGACTGACAGAGATTACAGCGTCAGATGATTAAATCTGAGATTACAGCAGCTCGTCTGCACTCATATCGACTCAGATTACCTGAATACAGCTCACCATATCACATTCAGCACCACAGAACATCTCACTATATCTTCAATATCACAGTACATCATTCAATATCACACTTTTTGCAGTTTAATTGAGACTCTCTATATGGTCATTGATTCTCCAGCTCCATATGTAACAGCCCTGTAATTATTGTGTGTGTGTGTGTGTGTGTGTGTGTTCAGGGTGGCACCATCATTGGCAGTGCCCGCTGTAAGGCCTTCACCACACACGAGGGTCGTCTGGCGGCGGCGTTTCACCTGCTGCAGCGCGGCATCACCAACCTGTGTGTGTGTGGAGGAGACGGCAGCCTGACCGGAGCCAACACCTTCCGCAGCGAGTGGAGCGGCCTACTGGAGGAGCTCGTACAGCAGGGTACACACACACACACACACACACACACACACTCTCCTCATTGAGATGCAGTGTTCCTCAGTGAGGCTCTTGGCAGCTGTTAATGAGACTGAAACACACACACACACACAGCTGATGAACACTGCAGAATCTCAATCAGCTCCATCTGAAGCACGGCTGAGAACCGCTCCCGCTGCAGGAAAACAACACATTCTGGGTCGGTTTCCATGGCAACGCTTCAATGTTTGAGACATTTTTAACAACAAACCTGAACTAACATCATCAGCAACACACACACACACACACACACACACACACACAGAATAACTGAAAGGACGCTGAACTATTATATAATGCAAACTGTGTGTGTGTGTGTGTGTGTGTGTGTGTGTGTGTGTGTGTGTGTGTGTGTGTGTGTGTGTGTGTGTGTGTTTCAGGGCGCATCACGGCCTCTCTGGCGCAGCAGCACACACACCTGAACATCGTGGGTCTGGTGGGCTCCATTGATAATGATTTCTGTGGGACGGACATGACCATCGGGGCGGACTCTGCTCTACACAGGATCATGGAAGTGATTGATGCCATCAGCACCACTGCACAGAGGTCACACACACACACACACACACACACACAGAGGTCACACACACACACACACACACTCACTCATAATCACACACATACAAACAGTCCTACACAGACAGTTATACACACATTTACACACACACACACAACTTAATCACACACACGTACATAATCACACATATGCACAAACACTCTCTCACACAGACAATCATACAGACAGACACGCACAATCACAATGGCTCATAATCACACAAACACTAAACACACACACACACACAGACAGACTCATAACATACACTCATAATCAAGCACACACACTTATAATCATAATTACACAAAATCACACACACTCATAACATGCACACTACACACACACAGTCTTACACAGGCAATTATACACACAGACACACGTTTACACACTACACACACCACAATCACACACACACATACATAATCACACTCGTGTAACACACACACACACACACACACACACACAGTCTTACACAGACAATTATACACACAGACACACATTTACACACTACACACACCACAATCTCACACACACACACATATACATAATCACACTTGTGTTAGACACACACACACACACACACACACACACACACACACACACACACTCTCTCTTTCATCCATCAGGCTGTCAGGAAGCTGAACTCTCTCCCAGCTCTGCTCCCCGCTCCCTCCTCCCCTCGCACCTCTGGACTCTGACACACATACACTCACACTCAAGCCTGGTTTATACTTCTGCATCAAGTGACCGGCGCAACTCACGGCGCAGGCAACGCGTGTAGCTGTGCATTTATACTTCTGCTGCTGTCTCTGTTGGTCTGCATTAACACTTCTGAAACGCTAGTGGGCAGTGAGGTGTAAATGTTCCTCTGTGTCGAGTTTCTTTGCTGCTGTTTTGCTTTTCCTGAACACTTCCTGGATGTACAAGTGACTCAAACTCGCTCATTTTGAGGCAGGAACCGGCGGACGTGCAACAACTTTAACTATGAGGTAAACACAAAACAAAACTTCCCATCCGGAGCTCCTTCACGGGACTCCACACTTGTAAACAATCGCTCGCGCCATTCTCGCGGCTCTCGGTCCCGCCCAGACTCGTCAGCGCTACCAAACCGACCAATCACAGAGCTTGCGCTACGCGTTGTTGCGATGTGTAGTTACAATTTTTGAGAGGTGCACGTCAGTGACGGCCACGGCGAAGGGCTATGCGTCAGCGCCGTAGCCTACGCCGGTGTTTGACGCAGAAGTATAAATCAGCCTTCACACACACACATACACACACACACACACACACACTCATACACACTCATACTCATCTGCACTGGTCACTTTATGCAGACACACCATACTACCTCCCAATATGTCACTGTCACTTTATCACAATTATCATGTTTACAAGTTCTTTTTGCACTATACTGTTCTTTATCTGCACAACTCTGGTTTACTTTGCACTCATTTGTTATATGCCCTTAATGTCACTATATTGTTTACAATTTTTATTACCTATGTATATTTTTAGACCACATTTATGTGCAATGTATATACTGTAAATTTTCTTTTTCTTAAACTCTATTTTTTTATATATATTTTTTCTATTAATGTTAAGCACCTTGGGTCTGAGAGTAACGCAATTTCGATTCTCTATATGTCTATATGTGTACATGTGGCTGAATTGACAATAAAGCTGACTTTGACTTTGACTTCACAGACAATCATACAGACAGACACACACACACACATACACACACACATTCTACACATATACACGCACAACAATAACACGCACATACATAATCACACACACACACACACACACACACACACACACACACACACACACACACACACAGTAAATCTTCCTATACTCATGCTCTTACTCTTGTGTTGTTTTCAGTCATCAGAGGACGTTTGTGCTGGAGGTGATGGGCCGACACTGCGGGTACGTTTATTACTGTATTGTGTGTGTGTGTGTGTGTGTGTGTGTGTGTGTGTGTGTGTGTGTGTGTGTGTGTGTGAGATTGTATTGTGTGTTTCTGTGATTGTAGTATGTGTAAGATTGTGTAGTGTGTGATTTTTTTTTTTAGTGTGTGTGTGTGTGTGTGTGTGTATAAGTCTGATTTTAAGTGTGTAGTGTGTGTCTGTGATTGTGTAGTATGTGATTGTGTTGTGTGTATTTGTGAGAGAGAGATGGATATGTCTGATTGTGTAGTGTGCGAATGTACGTGTCATTGTCCAGTGTGTGGTAGGGGTTGTGTAGTGTGTGTGTGTGGGAATATATACTGTGTAAATGTGTAGTGTGTGTGTGTGTGTGTGTGTGTGTGTGTGTGTGTGTGTGTGTGTGTGTGTGTGTGTGTGTGTGTGTGTGTGTGTGATTGTATAGTGTGTTTCTGTGATTGTAGTATGTTTAAGATTGTGTTGTGTGTGTGTGTGTGTGTGTGTGTGTGTGTGTGTGTGTGTGTGTGTGTGTGTGTGTGTGTGTGTGTGTGTGTGTGTGTGTGTGTGTGTGTGTGTGTGTTGTAATCATCCCTGTTCTCCAGGTATCTGGCGGTGGTCTCGGCTCTGGCGTCTGGTGCTGATTGGCTGTTCATCCCGGAGGCTCCACCAGAGGACGGATGGGAAGATCACATGTGCGCTCGGCTGGGGGAGGTGAGAAACACACCTGGCGGACACTAAGGCTGCGTCCCAAATCACATACATCCCTACTGTGTAGTACACTAAAAACAGTGTGCGAGTGAGAAGTACGTCTGATTTCATAGTATTGTAAACACAGTATGCGGGAAGCACCGGGGTGACCTACTACTGCCGGCGAGATTCTGAAGTGTGCATCAGATCAACACTGTCATATCCCATAATGCACCGCGAGAGAATTCATGAATGGCAGTGGATGCAACATGACCAATGGCGGATGGAGAACGTCAGAATTCCATTCACACTGCGCACATTCACACTATATAGAACACATGTTTCTAATGCTCATGTAGTAAAGCCGATTTCAGATGTAGCTCATGCTCGAGTAGTAGATGATTTAAGACGCACCCATATGCCTCATTCATGCTCTGGGTGGCGCTCTGCTTCAAAACTGTGTGTTCTATGTAGTATGAATGTGAGTAGTATGAATGAAATTGGGACGTTCTCCATCCGCCATTCGTCATGATCACATGACCTACACACATCAGTTGAGTTTCACTTCCAGTCATGAATTCTCCTGTGGTGCATTATGGGATAGCGTAGTGTCTATCAAGTGCGCAGTTCAAGATCTCGCCAGAAGTAGAAAGTAATCCGGATACTTC